AACTCTAAATAAACTAACTTCTAATTTACCGCTTTTAGTACATGGAATCATTGTATACAAATCCATTGAAAGAAAAATTATAAAACAAGAAACTACTTAGCTTTGTTTTATAAGATAGTTTTATACAATTTTACTATCAGCAGACTCCTATAGTTTATTTCCTTGAGCTTTTAATCCTAGTTTCTTGAGGTCTTTATTTTAAAGTTACTGGATATGTAATATTTTTTCGGTAATGAAATATTATAACACGAGTGTTTCAGTGTTGTTCAAGATATATTTAATTTTGTTCTTGAAACATGTAGTATTAGGAAATTTTTCAATCATAGCGCAGACAGATGATTTTTCAATAACCACGTATAATCCTAATTGTGAGGATATTATGTCATTTATTAAAGTTATTTCAGACAAATACAGAAATATGTTTGAGTATTTCAGAAACGTTTGTTTTTTTAAAACAAAGCCACATTTGGCTATCTGTTGTGTCCACCATGGGGAACCGAACTCCGGATTTTAGCGTTGTAAATCAATAAACTTACCGCTGTCCCACAGGAGAACTTTCTGAAACGTTAGCTGAAAATCAACGGAATAAATCCTATTGGTGGACCATAGCTTGAGATCAGTTGAGAACATTGAAAGTAATGGCAGAATTTTATTAGTTGTGCAACCTATTAAAAAAAAACAATAATTACAGAATATTACGAAAACGAAGAATTTTTCTTAATGTAATTAGAAAGGTTTTTACAAAGACCAGGAATCTGTATTAAAACTCTCATAAGTTCAGTAGTAATTATCCTTATTCTATGAATCTAGTAATTCTGTTATTAAAACCCTTTACGATTTTAACGATTTATCAAATTTTCTTGAATTTACTTCTCTAGAATGGTTATTGAAACTAAAATAAATAAATAAATATTCCAATTAATATTGAATTTTGAAATGGGCTATGGGTAATATAATTACAAAGAGTTTGCTCAAAACGTTAATCTTTACTATACTTTGTCGACTCGAAAGTAATGATTTGCTTTGACTCGAATCGTAAGAAACAGAAAAAATACATTTTAAATTATTTGTGATCTAAAATAACTGAGTTTCAATTGGAAATATATATTAAACTATTGTATTGTTTCAAGCTATAAATATTTCGGCATTTTAATCAAGTTAGTTCATACAAAGAAACTCCCTGTAAAGTTAGCTTTTCTGAGCATACACAGGTGATGTTGCTAAATGACAGCTATCCAGGGGATAGTTATTACATAATACCACCTACATGCTCTAAATCACTCGGTACAAATGTAGGCTGACAAGAGTGGATAGAATATTTGTTTTACGTTTTCCAATAAATATATAAAAAACACTCAATATTTATCCCCGCCACAAAGAACATCAATAAATAATTTTTAGGTATTAATTTTTGGCAACGTTGTAGAAAATACAACGAACTCAAAAATAAACACAATAATGTATTTTTTTCCAGTTGCATCATATAAATTATTGGATCAAAAATTTCGTCAAGAACATTAAAAAATAACAAACTAGATATCAAGAAAAAAAGCTTGTTACAAAGCGTCATCTGTTGCCATTTCAAATAGTTTTTAAGAAATATTTTAAATCTTTAGATCATTCAACAGTTAAGGTTTTTAGTAAAATGGAAAAAATGTAATAATTTTTTATGTTCGCTTACTAATTTTAAAATCATCTATAATTTCCATTTGATTGGATGTGGTCAGTCACTGAAGTCAAATTCAAAAATGTGCAGAGTGATCACTAGGAATAAATGTATGCCTTATAATCTTGTAAACAAACACGTCTGTTTGTTTGTCTTTTAAAATTACTCCTCATCTATTACAGATGGCCATTAATTGTATTGTTCAGTGTCGCCATTGAGATGTATATTTCCAGCATTATGCTAGGATGGATATTAACAAATCTGAAAAAAAATCTAAATATTTTCTAAATCATACTGAAATGTTGCCCAGTACACAAGAATCGATATAGAATGACTTTAGTCCTGGCAAGCAGTTTTATGGAGATGAATTGAAGTATTGGATTACACTTGTAATCACTAATCACACACACACACACATATGGTATAAGCACGTTTTTTAAACAAAAATATTTCTGCATTCGATTACGAGCTTTATCAGACAAACAATACGACATTATACAAACAATACTATATTTACCAAAGTAAGATTTAGGAATAACAGTATCTAATACAACTGATCAGTTTCAATAGAGACTCTGAAGTTTCAATAGATTGATACTTACGTTTCTTATTCAAGTACGGATTAAGTTATGAGACAAGGTTCTTCTACAGCTACTTACTATGCATATAACATATATCATACAACATTGCTATGTTTGCTCTCCTTCATCTAGATCATTGGGACGTGAATTAATTTTTTTTTAAATACAGGCAATATTTTCTTAACTTTGATAGTGTCTGTGTTGTTGGTACGAAAAGTTTTCGTTAAAAGTGTTTAAAGTTTTGTAACAATAAACGATTACTTTTACTGGTGATGAAAGTATTCTATTAAGTAAAAAAAAAAATTGTTTGCAATATGGTATTCAAACCCTGATCACCAGTCAATTAGCATACTTCTAAATATTTATCATTGACTTATAAACAATGTATATGATACTTGTTTGAATATGAGCCTGAAATAAAATGTTTGTGAACATCCACAAATGGGACAACTTTTACTTTTCCAATTAATATTTGTAATGTTTACTGTTCAACAGATGTTGAATAAAAGTACAAATCGAAGGAAATAATGCGACATACTCAAAATTATTTTACACAATAAAAGAACTTGAAAATATGAAAACAACGAGAACAAAGTGAAACCTCGTGGCATTACATAGTAGGAAGTGGCGATAAGTATTTTGTTTACTTCATTATTTATTCGTAATCACATTGTTTACAGCTTTAAAGCTGAGTAGCGTTTTTAACAGTGTAAAGTATAAATATACATGAATACGCATAAGTAAACAATATATCATAAACAACAGCAACTAATATCATTCAGAAGGCTTAATTGTTTAAGCAATTAAAATTATGTTTACACATGAAAATAATTTGTGTGGTTGATCTAAGGATGGCAATCAAATAAGTCATTAACTCTATGACATTTTTTTATAGATCTCTAGAATGTCGAATACATGAAGGTCATTTAATACTAAGATGTCCAAAAAAGAGAGTTTTTGGTATTTTTATATTGATTTCTGTCGGTGAATTATTCAGTTGTTCTTATGTGAGGAAAATCTTTCACTTCTTAAGCTGACTAGCGATGCTTTACTTGGATCATATTATTCTTTTCTGTTTTGGTATTGGTTCTATATTTAAGCATCATATCTGTGTGTAGATGTTTTATTGATAAAAATGAGCACAAGATAATGGAAATGTAAACAACAATTAAAAGTTTATTAACTTTTATAGGTAACATTACAGCTGTAAAAAATAACATGAATAGAAATATGCTTAGTAAGGCAACCCTGTGCATGAACATCAAACTTTTTTTAAGGCTACGTTGTATCAAATAAGAAAGGGTTACAATAAATTTAAACACTTCAAATGTTTTTATATTATTTCACAATATTTCTCTCAAAAAAGGAGCTTTAGTTTAATGATAGTATAAAATGTATGAATCCCACAACGCTCCACACTATGAGTGCAGAGTTTGACAGAAGATAATCATTGAACTGGAACTTCTGACGCGACAACTATTATCTTAAACAATTTAGAAATACCGAACATTGCTAGAATTGCAATCAACTTTTCCTTCTTATCCATAAGAGCTTTCTTAGAATGTAAACTTTAATATTTAACTATTCATCAAGAATGTTTGCAAATTTCTTTCACAAAACCTCATATTTCAAAATAGTAGTTAATGTAAAATTTATGTTTATAATCTGTGGTGATAAAAAAAGTTTAATACCCAGAAGAAGAAAAGATCCTCATGAGATAAACGATTATTAGTTTACATCTTTAGAGAAATAAAAAAGAATAATATGTACAGATTTTAATTCTGCATTATATAAAGAATCACATAGGCAAGCAATATAAAGGGTAATTCAAGTCTGAAAAATGCTTACCTGTATGCAACAACTTACAATCAAACGAAATTTGGTAAAAACATTTTGAGTGAAATAAAATGATAAGTAATAAAACAGGACACGTTAAAATAAAGTGTAATGACAACCAAGAGTAGTTGATCGTATGATATTATTAAAGAAATAGGTGGTGTACAAATATATGGAAAATGTGAAATATTTTAAGAATATACATGATTACTCATGAACTTTTAAATAGTGTTTTAGCTTTTTGACAGAAATAAGAAAGGAAGCTAACAAAGCCTAATGTATAATAATTCAACATTTCTTCTTCGTTTCGTTTTTCTTTTGGCAGACTAATATATTAGCAGAAATCCTTTGTAATTCTTGTAAAACTTTCGCAAAGTAAACAGAAAACACAGATGTTATTCTCAGTCTCATTAATTTGTTTGCAGGTATACTGTTACATAAGAAAGCGTTTATTTATGCCTTTAAAAAAAACCGCGCATTAGATATCTAAGGACATCTCGTCGGACAGCAAGCTATTACATTAGGATTGGTCCAAAAATAGCCGATGCCTTCCAGCATTAGTTCAGCTGTTACTCACACAAGTGTTTACCGATCACAAGACGCTCTCATCCATGACATTCAAGAGATTCTCCTACCTCACTGACAGGCACAATCTTCTATGGAAAGAACCGATTTCGCTGCACCACTGCGTGTTGTAAACACGTGGCTGTTGAATCGAACAGGCTTGCAGAGTGGTTCTTCTTTTCGAAGAGACATGAGACACTTCCCAGGGTTCTTGTCATCTCTAATGGGAAAACACAATGATATTATTGACATCAGTTACAAATAATGACTACCTCTTTGCCCAGATAAGTTGGGTATCGTTAATTATATCGAAGAAACACGAGACACTTCTAGTGTTCTTGTCATCTCTAATCGGAAAACACAATGATATTATTCACATCAGTTACATGCACTGACTACCTCTTTGCCAAGATAAATTGGGAAGCATTGCTTATAATTAAACTGGGACAACGAAAGCAAAATTAACAACACAAGTTTCTAATTTCTAGAGATAATATTTTGCATTAATGTTTATGAGTGTGACACGTTCGACTATTTTATATTTGTGTTAGCATTTATCTGTCTCACAATTTGAAAAAAAAAACATGAACAGATCCTCTCAACTAGAGAATAAACAAATAGCTGAACCACACTGAAACTGGTACACAAATATAATTTTGGCAAACACATGTAAAGTGTTCGTCGTCAATGTCGACTCTTTGTCTACCAAGGTATGTTAGTGTAACTAGACGATAAAATTGGTAATGCTTCCCTCCGTAAATGATGAATATCACATAAAACCGGGGCAAAAAAAAATCAATATTAAAACCAGAGCCTTTAAAAGAGATACTACGTTTACTCGCCATTTTGTATCTTTGACCAGGAAGAATAATTTTAAAATACATTATTTAGTGGTAACAGAGAAATGAAAATATAAAATTACTAATGGATTCAACTATTGGTAAAAGAAAAGAAAGTCGGTCAAATGAAACATCTAGCATATTGTATTAATGCACGTTAAGTAACATTATTTGTCCATCGGTGGTTCAGCGGAAAGTCTGAGGGTTTATAACGCTAAAAATCGGGTTTCGATACCCGCGGTTGACAAAGCACTGATAGCCTATTGTTTAGTTTTGTGTTAAAAACAAACAATTAACATAATTTACTTAAATGAGATTATTTTAACAGTTCAATTTAAAGAGAATATCGTAAAAGGTATTTTCAAAACAAATTTTTAAAGTATTTAAATTTCTAAACTTTCAAAGTTATAGCTAGTTAACAACAAGTTGTAATTAAAAAACTATCCATGTAATTACGTTAAGCTAATATCTTGACTTTAATTTTATTACAATAATTTTTGATAAGTGGAGAAAGTAACGGTTAATGTTATACATTCCCTCTTCCACAAAAAGAGAAAAGCCAGTAACATCCACTTAAGACTGCTTTAAAACTATTACAATACACGCATTGAATTTTTAGTTACCTTTTGTGTGCTCGCGAAAAAATAAAAGAGAAGCGAATATGCAATATTTCTTTATTTTATGCCTTCCTTCTTCCTGGTACCAGCATGGAGTACAATACAAAATATGCTTTGTTTTATAGTAGCAGTAGGACGGAGAAATACACTCAAACCAAACTCATTTGTCATCTATGGTTATGTTTTCACCTTTGTTTAATAAGACTTGTTCCACAGCAAGCTGTGACAAAATATTAATGGCCAAACCAAATTTGAACGTCAAATCTTATTTGTACTGATATTTCTTCTACGGAAGCAAAACCTACTGTGGATCCAGAGAATAACTTTGGCGCTTGAAAGCTAGGCTAACCGGAAGGTAAGCTGGATCTCTTCCTTCTTATTCGTTTTGTTCCGTGGAAAGAAATCTTTATTAGATGTGAACTAATTCGAGAATATTCTAGATTTAAATACGTATTTTACAAATTGTAGAAGATATGTGGAAATTAGCCAAAAAGCCACCAGTTTCAAAGCAATATCCGTAAAAATTGCTTCGAAAAATGTCTGATTTTTGATCATGTGTTCATGTTACATTTGAGTTATGTTGACCCGACTGACTGAGCGAGACGTAAGAAGGCTTATAACGCTACAATTTGGGTTTCGATACCCACGACGGGTAGAGCACAGATATCAGATTGTATAGTTTTGGGCGCTTAATAAGTAACTAACAAACAAACATAGCTGAATGTTAATACAGACTTATTTTCATTATTTCTTTTTTCAACTATCACTACTGATAAGCAATAACAAATTTGAAATCATATTTCTATTGATCTTCTTTCTGTTTCGTCATAGAACATATTTGATAAAATGAAGCAAGAAGAGACTGAGATATAACAAATAGTATCAGCTCTGAAAGAAAAGTCAATTTTGATCAAGGAATGAATTTATGTCTAATATTTGATAATCTCAAACGCACTTAGAGTACTAGTTAGACCCATTCGAATGAGAGTGTTTAGTTTTCACTCATGCGATTATGAACAGTCTAACTCAAAATGTTCTTTTTCGATTTTGACTACACTAGGTTCATAGGTTAAGAATTCCCAATGGGGAGTGTAGCTCAAAGTTTAAGGTCACGTTGAAGGTCAAACACTTCCGTTAGAATGATAGTAAATTGGGATTTTGAAAAACAATCAAACCTGACTAATAAACTGAGATAAAGAGAGGATCTTGGCACATAGATCTACATTTTTATGAGGATTTATTTGGTGTATATAAAAAAAAGCATTGCAGTGAGGGGGTTGTTCTCTCTGGGTGCTTTTCTAGTTTATCTTAATCATGTTTTTGTACGTGATAAGTAGTTATGTTGTTATAATTATATTTATGTTGTTATAATTATAATTATGCTGTTATAATTGGAGATATTTTGAATCGAAGTACTTTTCATATGTAATTATGTTGCATTTCCATGAACGCAAACAATTGGAAATATTTTTGACATACATAGGCAAAAACAAATTTACCTGTATAATGTTACGAAATGAGATAAAAGCAGTTATTAAAAACTATTTATTATGCTTGAGAAACCGGACTAATAGAGCAAATATGTTATGTATGTGTATATAAATATATATATATATATACGGTGTGTGTTTCCATATATAAATATATATATGTATATAAATATATATATATATGTGTGTATTTCCATATATATAAATATATATATATATGTGTGTGTGTGTGTGCTTTCATATATATATGTGTGTATATAAATATATATCTGTGTGTATATAAATATATGTGTGTGTGTATATAAATATATATATATATGTGTATATACATATGGAAACACAGGAATCTACACATTCCATCCAGCAACAGACTGCACAAGCACAAAACACAAGATCGTGTCTGGCCCATCAGTTCCTCCACGTGATAAATGGTTAGATCAAAAGGTCCTATATTTGTGCATGATGTAGTACCTGTTATGTATATACCAAGGCAATACCAATACTCGACCAAACACCATAGATGAAAAGCCAGTCTGTCAAGGCCTTGTACAGATTAATGAATTCATTAATACAATTGTGTTCATTCTGACAGCAAAGCAAATAAATTACCAAGACGACGCCACTCTGGCGACGCTTAGCGGGAAGTCCAAAATGTGTCCTGGCTAGTTTGACCTTCGTTCCTCGGCCAGAAAAATATCTCCTCCCAAAAGGAACTGATCGGCGCCATGTTTTTTTGTTTTTTTTACATCTTACCTCGGGGTACATTATCTTGAAATCCTCCAGTAACATGCACAACTGAGCCAATGACAAATGTATTATTTTTAAAATTTTGTACTTTAAATATAAGGAAGCATTGTTAACATATTTGCTTTTCTCCTCCAACTAGCTTATTTGCCACGATGTTCGAAGTTATTAATTTCAGTGGCCAGGATATCAAGTAAAACATCACATTTTTCAAAAGTGTTTTAGCATTGTTTTCAGCATTATATAATTTTGTTTTCATTGAAAACAGTTTTTTTTAGTTGATCGTTAAGAAATTAATAATATAGAATGTTTAGTGTAGAACTGGTTTGTTTGGTTACTCATGAAAACTTTACTTAAGATGTTTAATTGGCCCAAAAAACTTTAAAACGTATACGTGTACTTAATTTGTATGTATGGCAAAGCTAATAAGGCTGTCTTCTGCCGTTCCTAATTCTGAACTACTGACCAGAAAGACGTCAGCTAGTCAGAAGCACCCTACACCCACAATCCAAAGCGAAGGGATTATCTGCCACTCTTATAACGAACAAACAGCTTAACTTTTTAAGCGCGGGGAATTTTTTTATGGTATTACACGGATTCGAACCCGGCTTGCCAGCTCAGAAATACAGAGCTCTACCACAAGGGAGCCAACCCATGCCCTACGTGTATTAATATTATGTGTAATTTTCACTGTAGTGTATGAATACCTCAAAGGAAAATAGAAACAAGTAAAAGTGAAAGAAAACAAAGAGGAAATATCTGGATAAACATAATAGATTTGATAATCATAATCGAAATAAACATTTATATATCATTACTATATGAAATAATCTATAGTCTGAGCATATGTGTCTTGGAATGGCTTAGTTTTCGTTCTTTGCAAAGTGAGCCTTTCATTGCTTATCAATTTGTAAATGTCATTCGTTGTTTGTTTTTCACTATCTAGCTACATATTTTTGTTTTTTTAAGAGATGATTTTCGAGAAATTTATTTTTTTTCACGAAGTTTTTAGACGTACTACTTTACACACACATACACACACACACATATATATATATATATATAAACAAGGAGACAGAGAAAGAAATAATCAGTTTGAATTACTTTATCATATGCCAAGATTATCTAATTGAAGCTCTAAACGAGTATTTTAAGAGTACTTTGAAATGTCTTCCGACCAATCGTATGCCAGATTAAAATAATTGCAATAGTCTCGTCTGTTAAGAACTGCTTTGTTAATCTGCAATCTTTTGTTACTTAACTAGTCTATGATTTTTCACTATTCATTTTATATGAGGACGAGGAGAAGATGTTGTTAAAATATTGTTGTTCGGGAACATCCTGATAGTACTCTAGGCGAAAACTGTAATAAGATGTTTTTAGTTTCAGTAGGTGCTTTTTTCTTTCTAGCCTTTTTTTTTCTGTTGTGCAATCTCAAGTACCATTGCCGCAAACTGGCTTTTATTGTTGTGTAAAAACTAAAACATGATTTTGTATAATTAAGTTCGGCCTACTTTAGACATATTAATCTTTTAGTACAATTTATCTGTGTATAATGTCTAGGTAAAATTAATAGAATTTTCCATTATTTCCAACTATTTTAAACACTTATAGTTCTGTAATTCTAGATAACAAAGTGTTATTTCCAAAATAAATTATTATCGTACATTTGTTTGGATTTCTCTAAGTGAATTTACAGAAAATAAAGTTGTGTCGTTCTAGACCATAGGATTTTTGTTGTTGTATTTTTTTAAATCTTGTGGAAAATTCCGGAACTTCCTCACTGTTTTCACACCACTGTAATATATTTTTAAACTGTGCCTTTTTGAGTTAAAAGCGCAAAATATATTAAGCCACTCAAGAAACAATTAGACTGGAAAACAAAATACAGAACATAGAGTTCTGTAATTTATTTGAACACAGACCTGTATAAGTTCAATTGGAAAAGTATTTAAAGTACTGTAATATTTGTTAGTACTTTTCAAATTCAGGTGAGATAAAGGTATTTTTGTTTCGGTCTGCCTTACTGTGTTACATAAAATTGGTGTAATACCTTACTGTGTTAGATAAAATTGGTGTAATACCTTTAAGGTATTACACCAATTTTATCTAACACAGTAAGGTATTACACCAATTTTATCTAACACAGTAAGGTATTACACCAATTTTATCTAACACAGTAAGGTATTACACCAATTTTATCTAACACGGTAAGGCATTACACCAATTTTATCTAACACAGTCTGTGTTAGATAAAATTGGTGTAATACCTTACTGTGTTAGATAAAATTAGTGTAATACTTTACGCCTACCAACATTATACGCATAGAATAGTCTCAGTGAAGTATTTTTATAAATTCTGATCAAATATTGTAGTAAATAAAACCTCTGAAGATTGTAACATTATTGGTAATTATGGCAAGTGGACAGCTGTCTGGAGAACAGAAATATCACAAACTGCTATTTCATAAGTAATAAAATAAGTGTTAATGGTGGAAACAAAGGTTTCATATTGTCACCTAATTTGGATCTCTCGTGTAAGTGAAAAGCACAAGGTTGATTTAATCAACAACAACAAAAATTCACAACCTTGAAGCGTCCTATGTGATTTGCCAAACTGATCAGCGTCATAAGCTTTGGTACAACGGGTAAAGTCATGAAATAAATTGAGGTATGTAAAGGGCTTAAGGTGAACCTCATTTATAAAGCTCTATGGTATAAACAGCATCCACCCCAAATGGCGCTAAGCAAAAGAGCATTAATATTGATAACTGAGTGATCCAGACCTACAGAAAACCTTGGCAGGCAAGTTTGTTCCAGGGCCCACACATACGACGCAAAATGGCCGAAGCATCGCACAAAAAACCCATGAAGTTAAATTGGCAGTGTTGGTCGTTGCATAGATTGTTGCATAGTTGCAACATATGTTAAATTAATGTTGTGTTCCATCCTTCATATTTTACATTATTCGGGGAAATTGCTATATGGATTAGTAAACACAAGCGTGTACTGTTAGGCCTTGTTCATTAATGCCTATACCTTAATACTATCCAATTTCAGAGTCAATACACCTATAGTTCTGTGGGCAAGTTAATGAGTTTTTCTTGCACACTCTTTTGAACACCCTACACATAATAAGTATCAGATTTTATTAGTTGTTTTGTGTTAAGTACTTTTAATTTTGATTAAAATTTTATCTTTTCTGGAATCGTTCTAATTAATAATTTATAATAAATAGTCAGGACACAAATGAATTAAAATATAAACATGTTCTTAGTAAAATGAAATGAAAGAATAAAAAAATAACATTTGTTTTTAATACTAAAAACGACGTGTAGATAGAAAGATTTTTATTCTTTACTGTTGGAAACATCTATTTGAATTATAAAGTTGTTGTTTTTTTAATTAAATTTAGTGCGATTTCTTTATATTAAAAGTAAATATGTTCACCCATAACCTTCCAAATAAATTAAGGCAAGTTTTTAAGTCTTATTAAGCCAAGACATCGTACTAAATAAAGAAAAGAATGCTTGTTCCACTCAGCTGATAGTAAAGTAAATAGCCACTCAAGGTAACATGTTTTTGTCTTATTAAGCCAAGACATCGTACTGAATAAAGAAAAGAATGCTTGTTCCACTCAGCTGATAGTAAAGTAAATAGCCACTCAAGGTAACATGTTTTTGTCTTATTAAGCCAAGACATCGTACTGAATAAAGAAAAGAATGCTTGTTCCACTCAGCTGATAGTAAAGTAAATAGCCACTCAAGGTAACATGTTTTTGATTTTTTAAAACACATCTCGTTTTAGACATCGTTTTTGTATAACATTTAAATAACCCTTTTGAAGTCCCCTGGTGAGACAGCGGCAAGTCTCCGCTAAAATCCAGAGTTCGATTCCCCGCGGTGGACACCCCAGATAGTTCAATGTGGCTTTGCTATAAAAAACAAACAAAACCCTCTGAAAAAAAAATAGTCAGCAGTATAGCTCTGTAGAAGGTGATTGTAATTACGAATTATTAAGTTGAGAAGCATGTTACTGACGAGAGGGTAGGCAGTCGGCCAGCAGTACCCTCCGCCATAAGGGTTTTGTACGGTTCTTTAAACCAAATAATAGGATTAGATTTCACTTTTATAACACACCCACAGCTGAAAGTGATGAGGTTTTTAACAACAGATCGTGTGAATCCCCGAATCTTCCCATCTGTAACTCGACACCTTTACTACTAGACACGCCCAGCCCAGCCCTGTAGCTCGAATCCGGGCACATTTGACCTGTTATGAATGAGTGGTATTTAATACTCAGTAAACACATTTTACATTTCCATTCGTTGTGGTATTGTAATTTTAAAGATCTCTAACTTAAAATAACTTTCATATCCAAAAGTGAGTTTAAATGACGTTCTTCCGCGCTATTAATATGTTTTTTTTAAAATGTCGATATCAGTTAGAGGATATGGGAAACGATCAGAGTATTTGCCTATTAAGTCTGCAAATTTTCTATCATTTAAAGTACAAAAAACGACTGATATGATTGTTTTTTTATTAGTAATGAAAAAGGATATTCAGAACTAATAAAATAACAACAATAGTATTAAGTATTTAAGCTATTTCAAGCTGGTAAGTATAATGACAACTTTCAAGAAACTTGTAACTGTTTCAAACTGTTTCTAGATCAAAATTAATACAATATGATATTATTTTCAAAGCTAAAAATGTCGTTTAAGAATTGCTTAGGAAGATGCAGTTTCCTTATTAATAAACAACAAAGATGCTGATATACTTGTTTGTTTTGAGGCTAAAAAAACAATTACACTTTATAAATGTGTACTTTCTCAAGTTTGAAGTAAATATCTGACTTCAATAAACGTTGTTTCTAGACTTAGGTTGAAGATCTAAGCAGTATCAGAAATCGTCCAGTGGGCCAGCGATAAGTTTACGGACTTAAAACTCGAAATTACAGAGTTCAATTCCCTGTAGTGGACAGAGAGCAGATAGCTCATTACGTAACTTTGCCTTAAAAAAACAACAACAACTCACCTGAGCACACAGTGGAATAGATCTTGTTCTAAGTGTCTACATCCTCCAACGCAGAGACCCACATCAATTTCCTTAAAAAAGAAATGTAAATTTTTGATAACTTATGTCTGAATTTGATTAAATTTGGAAAGTACATAAAATATCAGAGAAACTTCTTAATTTTCACCTATCAGGGATTACTCCTTGTGCGAGTAAAATCTTCTTCGTACCAGAGAGATATGAAGTAATATCCATTATAAACCTAGCTGGTTCTAAAAGATATAGGTTTGAGTTCGTTATAGGTATATTCTAGTTGAGATTTTCCAAGGACAAGTAAAATTATCTTGGTATCTAGTATAGCATGCTAAGTCAAATATATTTAAAGACAATGTTTAAATATTAAAGTGCTTATTAGGGGTTAAGTTAACTCATTGTCTATTGGCAATATGAATAAGATAGTCTGACTATTAACAAGGAAAATCCATTTATAATTCATAAGGTATGTAGAGGCTTAAATATGTATGTTTTACTTTAAAAACAAACCATCTGAATAACTTCTATTTTGAATATTAATGTTATGATTATTTTAGTTGTATAATGAATAAAATCAAGATGTACCATGACACTTTAAAGAACTGGAAAGTTATAGTGACTTCCTAAACCTAGAAGTTGTTTTACATTGGCTATAGATTTATAGAAATCCAAATGATCTCTTAACTGGAATTTTGTTTGGGAACAACAAATTTCTTTAATAATAATATGGCTAATAATATGTTCAGAACAACTATTAGTCTGAAAAAACTTACTGAATGAACCTGATAACATAAAAGCCAAAAACACGATATCTTAAATAAAATGGTATATATAAAAAAACACAACATATATAAAGATTGGTGAGAACATACATAATAGGAATGAATATATTGGTCGCAAATAATGGTGTATTTCAAATTCGAGGCAAGATCATTCCTAAAATCTGTTGTGGTGTTTTATATTTTATGTAAAAATGTGATTCCATTTCTAAGCATAATGTAATAATCTACTTGCGTTGTAGCATGTCGTGACATCGTGACTAAACATTCATCTATTGCTTAAGTTTACTTATCAAAGCAGATTGACAGGTACTTCCAAAGTAAACCATATTTGGGGAAGATTTCATCTGGAACTACCAGCCTCATCTCAGGAAGTTCGTTAATGAATCTGAAATTAATCAAACGAATAGAAATAGAACGAAACCATAATAATAAGATTTTCTATAAGACGTGAAACCTTTGACGGAACAAAGATGGTTTTAACTTCGAGGACTTTAACGAATAAGCCCTACTCACAACTTTGCCCTTCATATATAATAGGGCAAGGTGGTCATCAAAGGCTATTCCCGGAAAATGAAAGGAAATGTAAAGTGTACGTCATCCTGATTAACAAATTTTATAAACGTATTCTAATGCTTTTATAGATACTAAGAATAATCTAACACCACAAACCTTTGCTCTAAGTTTATAAAAGACATCTGTATAAGCCAAGCAATTAAGACAATAGTGTTTTATTAAAGACAAGTTATGGTATGTAGATTTTAAGCAAAAAATCTCTTATCCCTATATATATCTATCAAATTTAATTTTGACATTATTTTCAAATACACTAACAATGAAGAATAAAGAATTTACATCGACAGATACAAATCCACTGGGGATCGTACTATTTTACAAATAAATTACATACAAGCTGTAATTTGTAGTTATATGCTTCATTCTCTTATACCAAAAAAGTATAAACAATGGAGTCTTGAAGCATTAATTGAAAATATGATCGGAATCATATCCATGCTATTAATATTAAAGTACTAATGGGTGTTAAAAGGTGATTGTATTAGATATAAAATAACAATATGTACATTTAAAAAGCTTGAAAAATATGTGTTTCAAAAATCAACTTTTTATCACCAACACTTGAAAGCAAAGGAGACAGAACAAAAAAATAATTTTGTATAAGGACTCACATAAAAAGGAAAATTGTCAATTATTTATTCAAACTTACACCAATATAGAAAATATTTTTAAATATATTGATGTTGTCTAACTCTAATGTAGCGTAGGAAAAAAATCTATACTTTTTACAATGTACTAAACCTATTTACAGGATGACTAATATGGATCATACTGAGAGCGTGGCTGAAAACTTTTCTGCTTTTAACCAATGATTTTCGGCTTGTAACCATGGTAAACACCATATATATTTCCACGAGGCTTAAGAAAGCAGTGTTTATTTGTAGCTGAATAAAGAAACGTAATTTTTACGATGTTATACCCACTGACATAATAATTCCTAATTTGAAATTATATATATATATGTACGTATCTATTTTTCAGTTTTATGAGTTTATTGTTTCGATAACTAAAGTAAAACCGAACTTAACATGTATTGATGAAATATTTCATATTAACTGTTATTATAAGACACTTTTAACTTTCGTAGCACGTGCCAAGCAAGATAAGTTCTTAGGGAAACATAGAGCGTGACTTGTGCTCAACTTTCCAGAAACAACGTCGACTTAGTAAAATTTTTGTTTTCTAAAGCTGTTTTGCTTGTTATAAAGCGCTAGGTGTTTCAGGAAAACAAAGAAAAGTAAATATGATATATTATGATTCACTAAAATTGGGTGACTCTAGTTTTGTTAGCTCTCAGTTTGGTCCAACGAGTAGGAAACAAAAATATATTTACTACAGAATATTTCAAAAATGTTTTAAGACTATCTACAGTCTACACAGTAAAAAAAAAATATATATATTTTCCTCTTAAGCCTAATGTGGAATGAATATACATAGTCTTTTCTGTAAAAGTTATTGGAGGGCGTCCATAAATATGAATATTGTCATCACTTTGACGATGCATCACTTGTAAACTACGAAGTAATGAGCACAAGTTTACCTCAGGCCACACTCAAATGGAGCCAGTCCAAGAATAAAATTGATTGGGTAATAATCCCTGTTGAAATTCATTCTTAATCATTAACGTCATCGCCACACGACGACGGTTTCATCTCCTCATCTGGACTGACTTGATTTAACATAATAAACATGCATACTAAACCAATGCCATGATACGAAGTTATCGCGAAATTCAAAGTAGCTCACTCAAATACTTAACGTTTGAGCTAAATATCCGAAACATCGTCTTTTATAATGAAAATTATTTTATTCGTGAGCTGAGCGTGGCTTAGTGGTGAGCGGCCCGTTATCGCCAAAAACAAACAAACAAACAAACAGCAACAAAAAAAAAAAACGCGCCTCGCACTTTGGAACCGTGGGTGTTTTATAAGAATGACGTTCAAATATTTCGAATAGCTTTGCGCGAAATGCAACAAACAACAGCAACAACTTTACCTATCAATAGTATCATAAAGTCCTTGACGAATACTTGTTTGTTTGTTTTGAATTTCGCGCAAAGCTACACGATGGCTATCTGCGCTAACCATCCCTAATTTAGCAGTGTAAGACTAGAGGGAAGAAAGCTAGTCATCACCACCTACCGCCAACTCTTGGGCTACTCTTTTACCAACGAATAGTGGGATTGACCGTGACATTATAACGCCCCCACGGCTGAAAGGGCGAGCATGTTTGGTGGGATGGGGATGCGAACCCGCGACCCGCAAATTGCGAGTCGAGCGTTCCACATGATTTAAATGTTCGTCATATCTTATTCGCTAATATTTTATCTTTAATTGAGAAACTGACAAATAATTATTAGTTGTACTCAATGTATTAAGACTTACGTATATTACTTTTAAAATGTAACTATTGTGTATATACAACTCCTTTTAATATTAATTATAATTTCTGAGAACTAAAGATACCACTAGAAAATGTTTCGCGATCAGTGGGAAAATGGTAATTATTGATCTTCTCTTTAATAGGTGAAAGATTTAATCTAAATATAAACTTACAATAAATTATATGAATATATTATTTCCCCGTAACAGATTATAAGAATTATATTTTACCTTATATTAATTTAGTTTATGAAAGAGTAAATTATTTTTTTAAATCGAGTTCTTAATTGTTATTAAACATATTAAATGTAGAATAACAATATGTGCGCTTAAAAAAAATTTGAAAAATATGTATTTCAAAAATCATCTCTTTGTTACTAAGAAATGAAACCTCATTTAATATTTTCTTACGAGGATAGCATAACTTTTTAGCTTTGAACTTTGTCATCAAAACATTAAGTCTTTAGCAGTTTGGTTCTCTAAAGCTAGTTTTTAAATATTTCATTTTTGAAAAATGCTTATAAGAAAAACTCCACAATGCCATAATGTTATTTTTCTAGAGATATAAATAATAATTCCACCTCATTGATGGTCTTTGGCAAACATGCCTTCATCCCAACAGGGGGCGGGCCAAGCATGACCGGCGAAGAGTGCGTTGCTCCGGGAATGAGAAAACATCAAAAAATTATTAAGGCGAGACCTCAAACTACTACTTGATAATTCCAGTCACTTTACCCACTTGAAAGGCAAAAATCTGACCATACCTGCTTGACACATCTGCTTAATCCACGATCTTTCTATTCACATCTTAAAGTAAATTGGATGATATTATCAATCAATTTATCCTAGCAACATGACTGATCGATCTCCAAGTAGCACGGCTCAGTTTAAGATTTTAATCGGGACATTGTGGAAAGGGTGACACTGTCAGACACCGTAGAATAATACGGATGTTCGATAATTATAATTTAAATTATACAATATATTTGCTTGATTTTCATATCTGGGACTCTTGGAAATGTCAGTGTGAGGAAGGAAATATTGTGTTGAAATAATTTTGATGGTTAAATTAAGCATATAAGTGTTTACCTACTACAGAAATTAAGTTAATAAAAGTCTGAAAATATGATAGGGTTAAAGTTTGCTTGTAATATTCGATATGAATTTTATAGAATGGTTCAGTGTCATTTTGCAGGATTTGTATAAATCGTTGAGCTTGTAACCACGGAACTTATATTGGTGCTTTCTTGAAAAGGTGTCATAATTGTAATGTATGCACCTTAATCTGAGTTGTTTCGTGGCAGTTTATGATGCAACAAAATAAATTATGTATACACGACAATCCTTAACGGAAAAACTATATATAAAAACTTGCAAGTGTAATTCAGTCACTTTCTTCTAAAATTTCAGAGCTCTTTTCGTGTATTATATTAAAATTAATAAATTAATACTGTCTTCCAACCAGAGAACAACTAAGCATAAACCTCTTAATGATTGTACATAATTATCCTATTCTTACGTTCTTATTTATAAAGATTGTAATGCGTTGTTTCATCAGTTGGGTATAACGCTGTTAAGGATACTTTCGGCCAGAAACCCAATAATGTGCCACGAGGTTCGGCCATGCTAGGATATTTAGATTAATCCTAAGCCCATATGATAAGCTTAAAGCGGAAAAATTTCTATAATAAAATAATACAAATAATAATAATACATAAACATTAAATATTCCATTCGATACTGATAACGAAAGTAACATTACAGAAAGAATAGAATATACCTCACTTACGGAATACACAATCACTAGTTTTTAGTTTCAAATTAATTTAAAAAAATTGATTGAACTAAAGCTATAATGTGGCTGGCGGAATAATTATTATTTGTTGACAATGAAAGGCAGTAATTTGCTCTAGTAAAGTAATAATGTGTAATAACTTACCTTGACGCCTTCCGTGGTAGAATTTATTGTATCATTCCATATTCTCTCGTAATAAAACTCCAGAAACTCCATTCTATAACAAGGTTGTGTGCATTGACATTCTTCGATCACTTGAACACAGGTGGCTCCTGTCGTAGAAACAAGAGTATGAAGATGAAATTTGATATGATTGAAAAATAGATGTATAAAAGTAGTAACCTTTAATAATAAAAAATTCCCATAATAATTTGGGCTCTTAGATTTTCACTTATCTTAGACAATAGAAAACTAGAAGAAAAAAAAACGGAAATTGGTACCGAAAACATATACCTATTTTTAAATAATCATACCTGAAATTTGAAGACCGAAAAATATAATTTTTCATAATACTTAAAACGTTTTGTAATAATAATATGAAATATCTGTTGTTTGGAAAAACATTTTTAGTAAGAGTATAAATTTCGGTTTATTTCTGTTTGTTTCTAAATATGCATCTTTTAACTCAATAATATAATTTTGACTTAAAATAAGATAATAAATTTCGAATTGCTTTTCAGTTTATCATTAGTATAAAACATATAAATATATAATTAAAATTGTGAATAACCATACTTCAAATCATTTATGAGCTTGCTTGTAATGTGTAATTATAAATTTTATATTTTCATCGCACATGCAATTTTATTTTCAATTCATGTCTGATCGTTAAATTACTATATCAGATTTTGTTATTGTGTGTTTAACACTCAAAAACTACTAGCGTGGTTATATAAGATCATTAACTTTTTTATTTGAGTCTAAGGTCTTTCTCTATGCCAGAAAATGAAATGCTCATAAATTCGAAAAAAAAAAAATTCCAAACTTTGGATGGCTGTACTCACCATTTGGGCCGTCAACGCTAATTGTTCTATTCCGTAGTGGAACACAACTGTTTCCTGGAAGGTTAATAGGAACTTTATTTCTGTATGATTTAAAGTACAATAAGTTCTCAAGAAAATGATAAATTATTAGCTCTTAATTCCTAGGTGTCAAATAAATCCTATTAAGTTATATTAACAACGTGATTAGGCCCGGCGTGCCCAGGTGGTTGGGGCGCTCGAATCGCAATCTGAGGGTCGCGGGTTCGAATCTCCGTCGCACCAAACATGCTCGCCCTTTCAGCCGTGGGGGTGTTATAATGTGACGGTCAATCCCACTATTCGTTCGTAAAAGAGTAGCCCAAGAGTTGGTGGTGGGTGGTGATGACTAGCTGCCTTCCCTCTAGTCTTTCACTGCTAAATTAGGGACGGCAAGCGCAGGTAGCTCTCGTGTAGCTTTGCACGAAACTCAAAACAAACAAACAGCGTGATTTAGTAAATATATTGAAAACAGATTTTGTAATATAAATACTCCAAATATTAAAAATAAATTGTGTATAAAATATGTTTTCTATTGGTTATCTCCTGGTTATGAATTACATTTGCTTCGCAGTTTACTTTCAGATTGGCCCAGCATGGTCAGGTGGTTAGGGTGCTCGACTCGCAGTCTGCGGGTCACGGGTTCGAATCTCCGTCACACCAAACATGCTCGCCCTTTCAGCCGTGGGGGCGTTATAATGTGACGCTCAATCCCACTATTCGTTGGTAAAAGAGTAGCCCAAGAGTTGGCGGTGGGTGGTGATGACTAGCTGCCTTCCCTCTAGTCTTACACAGCTAAATTAGGGACGGCTAGCGCAGATAGCCCTGGTGTAGTTTTGCGCGAAATTCAAAAACAAACAAACTTTCAGACTAAAGTTCAATGGTCATTAGTTTTAGTTTTAACTCCCTCTCCTCCCCCAGACCTAACTCAGGTCGATGTGGTAAGACATTCCAAACAACCTATGACCTTCTAGTCGTGTCAAAGGGTGCAAGGCCCTCAGATGCTAGTAGTGACGAGAGAGGAAAATCAGAATACTAGTCTCTTAGGTAATTAATGCAGACACGTGGGGACAAGACAAATTGATTCTCTCGCTAAAGGAGACAGATAATATTCTGCACCTGTGGCGCTCCTTCAACCAATACATGTGAAGACTTGTTCATCGAAATACCTGGGGTTGAGATTGTTACAACTGCATATCCCTATTAGTTGATCAGATGTGAAAGCCGGAAACGAAATGGCCACGCCAAGAAGTTCCAACAGCGCCACCCTGCGGGATACTTTACTCAGTTCAGTTTGTGTTGCATGTAGTCTGAAGTAATACACCTGAGATAAGATCAATATCAGTGGTCTTATTTTATCATTTTTGTACTTGTTTACCTGCAGCAACGTCTTAAATATTAAAGCAACCAGTCCTATGTACCCTTTGCCCTTAGGGTGACTGCACTACAAACAAAACATAAAAATAAAGACTATAGATTTAAGCTTCGACTAAAGTTGCTCATGAACAATGTTGTAGTTCATATCTCGTGTTCTTTAAAAACTGGGTAAGTGCTGAAGATCAACAGCTCTTTAAGTGACTGTAGAAACGAAGAATTAGAAATTACTGTCACGATATGAAAAACTGCTAACAAAATGCGTTTAGCGAGGCCTAGATTAATGTATTTTAGGAATAGCTATGAAATTATGTGAGCTCTTTTTTATATCTAGAATAAACTGTAATGAGATACATTTCTTACTCAATCCATAAATAATATATTTTGGATCATCAACAATATTTGAAGGTTAACCGTTAAGCATTACATTATAAAAATATTACATGTCTTAATATATGATATGGATATTTTTCCTGAACCCTCGACTCAATACGTTTTCCAGCATAAGATATTAAATATAAGTGAAATAACTTCGAAAATATATACAAAAATGTCATGGGTGGAAGTATAATCAGAAGGTCTTTGTTTTGTCATTTAACACTTCACTAAATGACAGGCAAACTTTGGTGGACTTGATTGATATTTTTATCAAGATATAAAAGCCTGTCATCTATGTGAACTGGGAAGAAATACCACAACGTATGATGTCACATACAGACATAAACAACATTTAGTGTTTGCTCGTTTTTCTGTTATAAGACTCATTTATTTCCTCCAATGTTCAGATTGTATCATGACGTGTTTCAAGAAAACTAACTATACTACAACATTTAAAGAAAAGAACAGAGGTCCATAACAACACGATATGTGAACCATTTGATGGAGAACACATATTGACTCATTTTTCAGTACTAATCTATCGAGGTTTTGTTGTCAGCCAAATCTGGCAAGTCATGAACCTTAACAATATAGAAGTTAGTTATCTCAATTCTACATTATTAATTGTTCCAATATGGCTAACAATAAAACATCCTTTAATTTCAACAATAGTTTGTGAGCTTGGAAGTTGCTGTTCATTCACAAGGCTTTTTGCCTAATGTCATTAGGTTATAACCCAAAAAAAGTATTTGTCTAAATGTTATTTCACGCAAGCTTAAAATGAATACCTCAATTTTCATTTGTGTAATGACCAAAATAAACATAATATCTATGGGGTTTTGAGTCCGTTTCATTTCTCCATATAGTAACCTAAATTAACTTAGTTATGTGAATAACGTTATGACATATCGTCGAATTCATTATTCGATATTATAAAGCGGATTACCTCTTTAATGATTGCATATATATATGTGTTAAATATTTATTTTCTTTTTCACCAGAGGTGAAATTGAAAAGAGAGTCTGTAAGAAAGAGGCCTAGTGCATTCTTTGATTGACTGTAGACTGCAGTTGCGCTTATTCAAGGCTTATCAGCACACGCACACAAACACACACACACACATATATATATATATATATATATACACACACAAACATAGTATTTGTTTTTACTATTCACTGAATTAGCTTAAGGTTTGTTTGTTTGAAGTTAAGCACAAAGCAACACAACGGGTTATTTGTGCTTTTTCCACCACGGGTATCGAAACCCGGTTTCTAGCGTTGTAATTCCGCAAAAATAACGTTGTACCACGTGTTGGGGCCGAATTAGGTTACGAAAGAAAAGGCAAAAATTTATTTTTGAAAATAAGTAAATAATGTGTATTAATTACAATGATTTAGCGTATTGGAATCTTTATATGAATTATTTAGACTAAATTTGTGCCACTTGTTTAGCTTTAGAAAATTGATATTGTATACAAATGTTAAATAATTAAAAGATTCTACTATACTTTCTACTATAATACAGAAGTCCAGTCTTGTTTTTTTTGATAAGTGAAAACGAAATACAAAGAGTTGAGTACCTTATATTAAAACTGAATATGCAAATCAGCAAGTCACGTGTCAACTATAGCCAATATAAAGTCACGATGGAAAGGAGTATATTAGAACTATAATTTGAGATTATTTGGTGTTCATAGGTAGTGCAATGCCACCGAGTGGGAAGGGTGTGTAACAATACTTTCCGACGCAAAATATTCAAACACTCAGATCATAAATGCGTTCAGATCGGGGATGTAGAATTTACAAGACGAGAATATCCCTTGTAATTAATGGCGTTGGAAAACAAATGAATATGAATCAAACTGGGAAACAAGGACTATCCAAAAAGAGACCTGCAACAAGTCATAACATAGCAAAGTGCGGTTTTTATTACGGTTGAGAATCCACAAACACAAAAATCAGAAACAAAAGCTGTCCATGTGCCCCATTCAGTACGTAACGTAATATAGAATGATCTCCTTCTGGAAATGCGACATAAATCACATGCACACAAGCTGCTTCCATGACATATCAGTTCAACAGTAGCATACCTCAAGCACTTGGAGAATGAAACGACTATTCATACAATTCCATAGAAAAACATCCAGGTTAAGTCGCCGATGCAGCCTATGGATTTCTGTGCGATCAGACTGTTGATACGGGTACCGAAAAATTGTCGTCCTCGTACATTAGATGGATTATGGTAAGAAAACAAAGAGGAGTAATGTGCTTTGAACGTAACAGCCTTACGCTGGAGCAAAGCTATTATCAAGATGCATTCTGTAGTAAAAACAATAACGAGTGATAACAAATAATAGAAAGCACAACAAAATAAGGAATGGATTACAAAACCTGAAAGAGATTAATAGATATTATTTGTTTTTAAAAAGTACAAACATCTCTCCCTTCAACGAAGATAATTTGACGTTGTTAATTACGAAAGTGTTCGCCAGCTATTGGTAACACATTGTTTTCACAAGCTATGGAGCATAAAATGCATTTTCTATGCTCGAAAAAATTATCTTCAAACATAAACATATTAAACCATAAAATTGCATACAGATTTTTCAAGGATTCTAGTAAATTATGATGCACTATGGTTTAACTGATTAAAAAAAATATATAATATTTTGACGAGAAAGGGCAAATAAATATGCATAATTTTTATAATTTCCCTAAACAAAAGTAAACAACTGGAATTCGCAGTGATCCACGTTTTATTTATTTTTTTATTTACAAAGTTCTTACTTGGTTGTGTTATCATATGCACTTTCTATAATAATCCTAAAATGATTGACGTAGTTATTTCAATTTGTTTACCAAAAGTAACATTTTTCTTATACTACTGTAAGAGTGTAAAGTTTGTTGTTTATCTCGGTATAATTGTTCTAGACAGAATAAAGAAAAGCTATTCAATTTGGTTTGTTTTTTGAATTTTGCGTAAAGCTACACGAGGGCTATATCTGCGCTAGCCGTCCCTAATTTAGCAGTGTAAGACTAGAGGAAAGGCAGCTAGTCATCACCACCCACCGCCAACTCTTTTACCAACGAATAGTGGGATTGACCGTTATAATATAACGCCCGCACGGCTGAAAGGGCGAGCATATTTGTTGTGACGGGGATTCGAGCCCGCGACCCTCGGATTGCGAGTCGAGCGCCCTAACCACCTGGCCATGCCAAGCCGGGTTTGTTTGTTTGTTATCTTTCACAACAGAGTGTCTTTTGAAATAACTTGCTTGAAAACTG